CCTTCTTTCTTCAACTCTCATTTCCTCCCACATTGTCTTTCATTATAGTATTTTCACCGTTAATGTACAACTAGAGGGAAAATTAAATAGCGATGATTACCAAACCTCTTTTAGATTAAAATATTAAATATTAACTTAAGAATGCAAAGAAAAATTAGTCGAAATTATTTTATAATTTAGATAATATTATCGAAAATGTTTTTTTATGATTTTTCTACTTATTTCATTCACACACAAACACACAAACACACACACAAACACACGCACGCACGCACGCACGCACGGACGCACGGACGCACGCCCACGCACATATGTGTGTGCGTAAATATAAAGTTTAAATTAAAATATATTATGATATTAAAGTAAGATAACTCTTATAGAAGCTCGAAGGAAATTCGGTGTCAAAAGAATAAAGAGGAATGGGTTGAATAATCACTTTCGAAGGCAGTTGCTATAAAATTGGTTGTGCGGATAGACTTTTTCTTACCTTTTCCGAATTTTCAAAATCAAGCTTAAAAGCCCAAAGTTTCAATCTAGCTGGAAGCTCTGAAATTGATGCCAAAGTTAGCAGAAACTGCTCTGCTGATCCCAAAGGTAGATCGGGATTGGCGGCCTGCGCCTCTTGTATCCTGGATCTTTCCTCTTCGGTTGGTAACATTGTCAACAGTTTCTAATAAAAATTATAAAATAAAGCAAATTCTATGAAAGAGCTGTACAGTCGAATTAACTGTTTTTTCTCTCTTAATTTACTGCTTCACGAAGTTATGAGAATTAAAATTTCTTTACATTTTTTAAAATACACTTTTATTATTTTAACAAGAATCAGATAAAATAAGCAGACTTTACTTTTTGAAAAGTTATAAGATTTTGAAGAGTTTCACTAAGTAAGAATTAAAATAATGAATGAAAATTACAAATAATAATACCGCACCTCGATGCCTTCTCTGTTCATGATAGTTGCATCCATTTTCAAGATGGCTGTTTTAATGGATCTGGGAGGTGGCAATTTCGTCATTCCAATATTAATGGCATTCGATCGCTTGTGGTCGAGTACAATGATTTCCTTATTCTTATTCATTTCTTGTTGCTTCTGTAGGCGTGCCGGCATTATCAAAAATATAAATCACTTTAGCAATTATTTGGCTCAAGACTTTGCACTTGTAGTTTCGTAATCTCGGGTTAAATAGGTAGAATTAAAATTTTTTGGAATTTTCTTATCTTTTACATATATACAAGAACGTGACTGGACGACTTATGCGACTTATGCGTGACATTATTCTATTTACAACAAAGAATCCCGGACAACAATGAAGGACAGAAAGCTCGATCGTTTGTGCACGTGTAAAGCACAACGAATATATGAATGTACAAACATGCACGCAGCTCCAACAGCATAATATATGTTCTATTTTATATAAGCGTGAACATGTTTATAGGAAGCGCAGTGAAAAATGAATGCGCGTGAAATTTTTGAAAGTATTTTATAAGCTACGCAATTCACATTTAATAGCAGCCACTTATAGCTCATAAATATGATGATAAAAATTGAAATTATTACTATTATTATTATATTGACAAAATACTAATAAATATGACCAATAAAATGCATGTCTGTAACATAATTAGTAAGCGATAGTTCACATTCTCTGTTGTAAACTTCAATGTCATATGAATTTTTCAATTATAGATAATTATAGTTTTATGAATTGCAAAATTCATGTTGTAAATTTACTTAAATAAATAAATTGATAAAAGAAAATTAGTATATGCAATAGTTTGTTTTCTATAAAATTTTCTTCAATTGCACATTATAATCAATACTACGGACAAATGCTCATAGATCGTAACATTTATAAGTAATAACATATATTTATATCGTTAGTGCGTTGCCTTAATAATACGTGATAATTATCGGTAAACATAATTGTTGCGAAATTCATAGACTGAGCCAGTTTAGTCTCAAAGTAAAGTGTGAAATTCAATGTCCAAATAAACTTGCAATTCAATAGAATTATTAAGACCATATGAATACATACACACATACACACACACACACACACACACATACACACACACACATACACACATACATACATACATACATAAATACATATATATATATATATATATATATATATATTCCATGGAAAATTAATGATAAATTAAAAAAATATATTAACAGAATGCATTCATCTATATCTGTAACAAATATTTCTGAATTCCCATCATCATAATCAATGAACATACAACATAAAAAATTAATCAATATAGTTCTTTATTCACATCCTAAAGACAATTCTCACGAATATGTTAAAGAAACTATATGATACAGATAATATCAGAGCTATAAGCGATTGCAAGATGCGCCCAGTTAAAATGGCAAAGTTAAGTGAAAAAGTTATGTGACTCACCTCCTGTAAATATTTTTCCAGCATGCCAATTTCGTTCATTTGCGTGCGAGCACCAACAATATTGCAAAGAATACAAGAAACAGATTAGTCGGTTTTTGCGGTAAACCATCACCACCAGCCAACCACCGTCGCAAATTATTAATTATTGTCATTGTGAACGTCTGTAGCGAACTTTCATATTATGTACAATGTTAATTATTATATTAAATCGATCCACGTCATACAGATCTGTCAATTAGAATGTATGCGCAGTATGTATCGCGTTATATGTCAATTGTTTGCATGTTGACTATTAAAAGCGGAAAATTAATCAGCGTCACGGTAGGTTGAAAAACTGCCAGTCGTGAAATAATTGTCAGTGTCAATCGTATTGGTGCATTGTTCCTCTATATCTTTAAGGCCAAACTTTACATGAATATTCCATAACTCAGAACGAAATTGCAATGTAATTGTAAATTGAAATTATAAGTATTTTGCTTATATAAGTAAATAACATACGTTAATATTATTTGTAATATACGACAGTGACCAATATTATTATTATTTTAGAAAGCTGTTTTATTAAAAACATATCTTGTGCCTGTAAAAATCAATGATTATTGGTGATAGTGAATATTGGTTCATGAACCAACGAGTCGAGCATTAATTATTAATATTTTACTATTTAATACAATCATTATAAATATTAAGTTATTAGAAGTATGTTGTAGAAAACTTTATAAGACTACTGTATTAATTGAAATTAAAATTTCGCCAATACGTAATGATTAATTATTATAATATCAGAAATCCCGAATTTACATACTTAATTTTTCATTGTTTTCTTCTTTCACAAATAAATATAAATTAATTATATTCCATACAAGTGTACAGTTTTTTTTAGAAGTTATCACATTAACATTTTAATTCATTACTCATAAAAAATATGTGTTATAAAGAAAGAATTTTATGTACATTACATGCGCTCCGTATTATACATATCTTTCTGTATCATTAAATATTTTAATAACGGTTTCTATCGTGTTACATTATATTATATTCGCATATTCTAATAATAATCACAATATCTCGGCTTAAATAGATCAAATATACTTTATCCCTTCCAATTCACAGAATATCGAGGAACATAGAAAATATCGAGCTAATATCGATCATTATCAATTCATATTAATTGCCAAGCAGACTTAATTAGATTTTTTATTTTTAAAAGAACTTTCATTATAATGATATTATATTTTAAACATTCTCATCATCATCGTTATGATTATTATTATTATTATGATTATTCATATCACATCAACATTTTCTCTAACAATTACTTTGAGCTGTCATATGCGTAATAAGCATATACAGGAGAACTAAAATAAAAAGTCATTTAACAGATACCAAGAATATTACGGAATCGTAGTGATTCATTGAAAGATTGGTGATGACAGAGAAAAAAGATACCGAAAGTAGCCACCTAGAACCGAGATATTATTGAGCGACGAAATGTTTATTGCCGTAAATCGTCCGTATTATTAACTATTTCATATACGATGGAGAGGGAGAGATACGGAGAGAGAGAGAGAGAGAGAGAGAGAGAGAGGCAGTACGAAAAAGGGCGATACGTATGTGGGTATGTACGTATAAAATTGCGAATGAAATTTTGCCAGTCAATCGGAAGAAAGTTTCGCCAGATGTTTCAACATCCTATTACATAGTTGAACGTACACGTATCGACAAAAATTTATTTAAACATATTTTTATATACATGGGAATCGACAGCAGGATTTTCCTGATACGTATTGTTTATTAAACAAAACAGTATGTGCATGAAAAATTGTAACTTGTAAAACTATCTTCAATGTACAATAATACCGAGAACGATGTTTAAAAAAATTTAATATACGATTTAATAATAAAAGGCAAATAATAATGAATATTTATTGCTATCAATTATAATAAATTCTTTTAATTTTGTGACTCATTTTACGCTAATAATAACTTTAATACGAGAAGAACACTTTAACGAGCTAATGTTTCTCTTTATCCGTGCAGTTTGTTTACGCGAGCATTTTTTTCTTTTTCTTTTTTATAGTTCGCTTAAAAATATTATTGGTGGAAAATCCAACGAGTCTGATCAAAATTTACTCAGTTAAATGAATCATATAAGCCGTTTGGCAGATTAAATTTGATCAACCGTAAGACGAGTGAAAGAATTTCTGCAGTTTTGCAGTGATGAAATTTGTCCCTGTAAAGGTCTTCCCATTGTATTGTCCATGTAAATAAAAAGGGAACAAAGAGATAGATAAGGATAAGTTTCTCACGGCGCCGAGTTACCGAGAGACACGTATCTTTACCTTCGAAAAATCACTTTCAATTGTGCGAATCGAAAGGGCAAATCTCGCGGCAATTACGCGGTTTAATTCGCTGCGCTCCGTTTGTAGCTCGAGAAAGGAGATAGAAAGAGGAAGATATATATATATATATATATATATATATAAACAGACAGATAGCTGAAGTGGGAGTGAAAGAAGGAGAGTGAGGGGAAGGGGTGAAGAAGGAGGGAGAGAAGATTGAAGTTAGTTGAGTTCTCCGCCCCACTTGCACGCCTCGCTCGTCGCTATTCTCACTCTATACGCTGTCTTTTTCTTTCTCAAAATAACTAGATATCGTACGTATGTTACTCTATGTGTGTGTATGTGTGCCCGAGCGCGCACTTGTAGGGGATGACGGCGATAATTTCCTCTGTTCTAATTCTCTTTTACCTCTTATTTGTAATGCCTTGTAATAAGAGAGGGAGTTCAGAACAATGAAATGAAATACAATAAGAGTAAAGCAGCGGCAATGAAGATCCAAGAACTTTTTGAACACGATATATATATATATATATATATATTTAATTGGATAAGAAATTAGTTTCAACAGATACTGTTATTTTTTTACACGAGAATATTTTTTCATTTTAAAAAGTTTGGTTTAAAGTTATTTATTTGAGAAATTATTTTCGTGAATTTTAAGAGATAATTTAGTTATGAATTTAATAGTCTTCAATCAAATAGATAATTTTCATTTCTTCTTTCCGTACATTAAGCAAAGATTTCAATAGGCGAATATAATAATAATTTATTCTAATCAATTTTTAAAATTTTTTAATTCAATAATAATTAAATCGATAACGGCACAAAGATAAGAATCGTTTAAGAGAATTCACATTCATATTTAATATTATTGCAACGATTTGAGAGTCTATGTACGAGGAAAACATAAAACGACAAATTATATATATATATATATATATATTCTAAGTACTAAAATAAAGAATAATGGAATACACAGAAAGAGAAACGTTTCATCGATGAATAAGCGCAAGCCTCTTCTAACTATAAAAAGAATATTTTATCAATTGCACGTGGCTAATACGGATATTCCGTTAGGATTATTAATGAAATTGGAATGTAAGAAAATGAAAAAATTTAAATTATGTAGTAAGTACTCGAAGCTATTCAGGAGCAAAAATAGGCACAACAAATATAGCGCGCAATCTCCACTCAAATTAAATTTAGCTTTCAATTACAACTAATAGTTCTAAGGCCTGTTAAACAATTTGTTATACTTATTGCGGACTGCGTGTGTAATGCAATGCGACCTTTAGTAACGAAATGTCCGACGATAGTATTAAAGCAGCAAATTTAAGGCGCCTCTTGGCAAAAGAAAATGCATATTGCTCGAGAAAGAGTAAAGGGCACTAGAAGTCAGTGTACCAGACGAGCGTATCGGGCCGATTAAAGCGATGTACGCAAAGTGCTAATAGAAATGCCGCTTTATAAGCTACGCGAACGAACTCGCATGAGGGGTGAGTGGTGAGGGGTGAGGGGTGAGGGGCGAGGGGGGCAACGTGCATTAGCTAGTTGAAGCCCAGATTAAGCTCGTACTCTTGAGAAAATCA